GGTAACACGAATGAAAAATATATATGATACACTAGAACACTTTTAGTCCGCAAACTATTCACTTTTAACCTACTTTTCTAGTTCAATTTATTGATACGGACAAAAAAAAAATGGAAATGAAGGTAAAACAAATAAAAAATTAGCACGGGCAGCGCTGGGTACGGGACAGCTAGTAATAAATAAATATTAATTTTCAGATTAGATTATTGAGTACTTGAATTCGAAAATGTCTGAAAGTCAATTTTGATTTTCGGTAGATTTTACTATGTCACTTAAGGTTTTTGTCAAATCGCAGTACCAGTACAAGGACGAATTAGGACATTAGACGAAAAATGTAATCATTTTTTCTATGACCAAATATATATCTACTATATTTTCGATTGGTGAATGTTTCAAATAGGAGGACTCAGTTTAATCAAAACTCATAAGCCAAGTCCTCCCGCATATTTAGTCCTTATCAAGTAAATACTATGTTTATACATAATCAATATTAATCAAAATGGCTAACTGATGATAAATATACTAAAACTACTGAACCTCACTCCTTATTATTAGCTCTGCTCCCCTTGAAAGGAGCGTTTTTTACCTTCTCTCCGTTTTTAATTATAACTTTTAAATTAGTTAACCTTTAAACTTATGGCTTAAATGTATAGAACTAAAACTAAGGTCGTCTAATTGACTATAGGAATGGGAACAATTAGGAATTCTGATGCATAATATAAAATGTATAAAGTAGTTGAACTTCGCTGAGAATCGTATTTCATTATTAATGCTTTATCGTTGCGTACAAATTTAAATTAAATAACTCTATGTATCCTACTTTTTGAACTTCCTATCTACAACAGTGATACACCCATTAGCAAATTCAGCTCTTTTTCTGTTTAAGCATTAATTTTTATTGCATGTATTTATTGTTAATTTAACAAAATAGTAAATTATTAATATTTTATGTATTTCTCAAATGCGAACATTCATTAAGTCAACTGTTACACATTTTATATTTCCTATTGCACAATTAGTGTCCTACTAAACTTATAATAAAGCCTGGCTAGTTGTACAAAAATAGCACTTTGAATAAAAAATGAATTCGAATTTTCTATTACAGTTTTTTTTGAATATAATGAAACGCAATTGGATAAATATTACGAAAAGACATGATGAAATTTACATTATTTCGCATCGGTACAAAAGGTTTTAAATAAAATTATTATTATTATTTTGTCTCAACTATGGCTTAACCTATCGAGATATTTAATTTGTTTAATTTGTTACTAATTTTAGATACTTTGGTTTAATATATATTAAAAACTAATTAAAATACCACAACAGCTATAATTAATGTTGAATTATTTATATGATTAAATTACATTATTTGATCAAATTCACGTCCTACGGTTCAAATACAGTGTAACTTTTAATATAATAGCTAAATACATCAACGTTTTGTAATGTAAAATACGAAATGTCATTTTACCATTTTATTAGATATTAATAATTACGAAGCAGGTACCGAGTATCAAGTTTGTCATAAAATAATTTTCATTCAAAATATTTTATTAATGACAAAATATTTATACAGAGACTAAAAAATCATGTTCTGTAAAGTTGAGCATCTAGAGTTTATACAATATGTTAATCCATGTCGTATATTTATCGTTATATAAAGGTATATACATTTACTTTTGTTTGTTTACAGCTTTTGTTTCGACTTAAATTTCAAATACTTACTCGATTGTTAATTAACAATTTAATATTCCCGAGTTTATGAAATATATACGAGTACACTATAAATCCAGACGTCTTTATAAATTGCAATCAAATTAAACCAACGAAGTGAAAACATATTCAAATTGAAACGGTATTTTTCATAATTTTTCTTCTTGATTTAAAATTGAAATTTTATGAAGAGATATTATTTAGTTAAATGAATAAACACCTTTAAAAATATAATTTTATTGAGGTACTTACCTCGCTGATAGTTTTATATGTATGCAATTCATTCATATTGTAATATTTATTTAATGAAATAATAAAAAAAAAAAAACATCTAAAGTATCGAAATATAGCAGGCATTTCTATTTAATTCTATCTAATTTAAGTGGGTAAACTCATTATCTCGGAGTGTATTAACTTTTTCTGGAATTTGTTGTCTAGAACATTTAAGAAACAAGCTGCTCTACAATTTTAAATTTGTGGTAATTTTTTGTCGCCTTTATTTTTGGGGGTGAACAACTACCTAATTTTGATTTTCAAATGACAACCTAAAATTAAAAAGTCCATATATAGATTGAGTATTAGTTAAAATAAATTTTAGTGTCGAATTTTTTTATTTCCGTTTATGATCCGTTGATGAGATATTCCACTCTAAGTTTAGGTTGGAGGAGAATAGTGGAGTATCATTAGTGTGGCCTTATAGCACACGGTGTGTTAATAATGTGACACTACTTTCCTCCAATCTAACATTAAAAGTGGCATATCTCGTCAATGGTTCGACAGAAATCAAAAATGTCAACACGTCCAAAAATAAGGGTGACAAAAAATAACACAAATATAAAATTCTAGAGCAGCTTGTTTCTTAAATGTTCTAGAAAATAAATTCCGGAAAAAGTTAACACTTTCTGAGATAATGAGTGTACCCACTTAAATGAATCACCTTGTACCTAATATTGAAACATATTAGTCGAAACTGAAGTGAGTAATACTATTGGTAAAAATCACATTTGTATGTAAAAAATGTATAAAACATTACTTTCATAAAAAACCGTAATTAAAAGTAAAAAATAATTTTTCAAAATTAAAAATATTGACAATCATTATATGATTCATCTGATATCATGTATGAGAGGTTAAAAAAAGGATAGATCGTGCACTTATAAACAATCACTTCATTGGGAACAGTAGAGTATATTGGATCATTTTCATATTATGTAATTTTTTAATGAATTGATTTAAACTATTGATGTAGATTTACATTAAAACAAAACCTAACCACGTAAGCTACAATTTGGCATAATTAGTTACAATTTTAATAAGAAATTAAGCTTTATATTTAGCTTTAGTTTTTTTATTTGTACGTAAGTAAGTTAACATTTTAAGAAAGCAAGGGGGCATGCACCCCCTGGGTTTTCCATACGTATTATATATACATTAATATTAGCTAATAGGCTAGAAAAATACAATTAAAAATAATAATACATTTCTCCTCTCCTCCTGGATTTTTGAAGATGGACGTCCTTCTTGTAAGCGCCATACATAACTAATTCAATATTATAATGGGGGTTGTCAAAAATAAAAAAAATGTTTTATTAAGTTCACGAATCTAATTGTAATGAACACAGTAATCTCAGAAATTAAATTATTTTTTTATTCAAACTTTTTAATTCTTTAAAAATTGAGTTTAAAAACCAATAAAGTGAAAAGTATTCAAAACGATCGGTATCGGCGGGAATTAAATGTGTCTTACTTGGTTTCTGGTTTAGTGGGTTACCGCTGTGATCAGAATATAGATACTGAAATCACGCCTTACCATGTATCTTAGATTGATAACGTTATTATCACGTCCTTATCAGTGTGGAAACCTTAGTATACTTGATGTTTGGTAAGTTACATTCAAATCGGGCCAAAACTGATCTTTTTAAATTAGTTAAAAAATCATAAGTCCTAAAATAGTGAAAAAAAAAATTTTTTTCAATCAGAAAAAATTATAAAATTAGAGAAAAATGTTTATAACCCCCATTGATAATTACATTTTCTTATAACAACATTTAATATTTAAGATTAAAGTAAGCAGAGTTTAAAATGTTAGTGAAACAATATCATTAATGTTCATCAATTATTACATTTTTAAAAGGTTTTTATATTTTTTGTCTTCTGAACAATATTGTCAAAATGTCGCTTACGCCCTTTTGCCTATTAGACTCGATATTTTTAAATTATTTTACCCGGCGTATTGATTATTTTACCAAGTTTATAACTTTTAATTTTCAATACAATATTTTAGAAGTACTTAAATTTACTTAAGATTTTGTTTATTTATTATTGAATAACTTTTAACGTTTAAAGCGCATGAGTTTCTTACAGTACTTTATTATGTACTATATCTCGTATATATATATTGTGTAAATGAACGAAAGATGACGATGGAGTGTTTTAATATTTTATCTATATCATGTAAATAAGTATTAGGTAATATATATGCGAGTACACACTTCAATTTCTATTTTAAAACATAAATCTATAGTTTTTTATCTTGGATTTTTATTGGTTTGTAAAAAACTTTAATCCACCTATCATAACTTTACGATGCTCAAACATTTTATCTAAATATAAACATAAAACTCATTTAAATGAAAAAAAAGGGAAAAAGTTTTTTTTTCATTCAGTAAACAATATGTAACCTTAAGTATATATGTATATAGTTAGATTAAAATCAATTATTATTATATGGTATTACTATAGATCAGTGGTTTTAAACATATGGCCCGATAAAAAAATACATTTTGAACAAAAAATACGAAATAATTGTAAAAATGTTAATTTTTTTTTCACGCATTATAAAAACATAGATTATAGAATATTATCTGGCATTTATAATGTTTTATTTTTACATTAATCGTTCAGAAATCCCATTATACTCGATAAAGTATTTGAAATGCGGTAAATTTAACCTACAAAGATAAATATCATTTGTATTTTGGTGTATGTGCAGTAATAGTGGGTAACAGTTTGACTGTGACCAGTGTTGTTTTGTTCGTACTAGTAACTAGTTATTTAAGTGCTTTGCTTTTCAAGTGTAATTTTAAATTTAAGTTTATACGCGTAATGTCTTCGTATAAATGTCTCATATCAAACCAACGAAACGTACATTTTTCCAAGAAAGACGGGCTTTTCAAGTAAAATGGAACTATGCATACTTTTTTATTAATTCTAATTATCTTCCAATATGTTTGATCTGTAAACAAAGTCTATCTGTCATCAAGGAATACAAGGAATACATTCTTCGTTCCACTCAGAATCTTAAAGAATTATCTTATTCGGAATTTAAACTCGAGACCACCAGCCAAAAATTTAACGTAAATGTCACTAAATAACTTCTTCCCGTTATACTTAAAATAATCATTATAAAAAAAACCGTATGAATGAACCATGGTTGGATGAGTATTTCCAAAAATTATTCGAGTCCAAGATTTTCATTATCGCATTTATATGTATATAGAAGATAAATAAGTATGAAAAAAAAAATCCGGGGCCAGTATCTGCTTTGGTTAATGAAACCGTATTTTATCTTGTTCGACTCTGCGTATAAAATAAAATGTAATTTAAAGTAGATTTTGAATGATCCTGATCAATCAACATCACGAATTAAGTTGTTCAGGACGGTAAACGAAAACTTATCAATTGATCAATTGATGATTAAACCTTTTAAACGAAAAAATAAAAAAGACATTAAGCGCTTAGAGAAGCTGACTTCGTACGATTACTATTTACTGCAGTGCAATCGTTACATCAGTATTATTGTGGAACATACCTAAAGGTTAGCTATTTTAATTGTTGTTTATGGTTGAAATAAAACTTCACGTAGACACACTATATATTATATTATATTGTACAAAATCATTCGTGAGTCACGACACACAATTTTTTATATAAATCAAAATAAATATTAGTGGATTGAAAAATAACTGAATTGTTGTAAAGCCTCGTTCACGCGATGACACTAAAATGTCGTGACTTTTGCATAACGCGCGGTGTCGCATATCAAACATTTTGGATATGCGACACTGTAGTGCCGCGGCACTATGGTAAGCTAAAGATTAACGATAAGCTATGTTACTTTGGTATCATCTTACGGCTCTTTTGTCATTATGTGAACGAGGCTTAATTTGGGATGGTACTCCAATCAGTTAATTATAGTAGTATATTAGCATACCTATTTAATCTATAGTACTGAAACGTCATGATATATCTATTTGGCTTGACCATTAACAAAAACGAGATTTAAGTCTCGTGAGTCGTTTTTATGAATATTTTATTTTTTTAATGCCTATCAAATTCAATCGTATTAAAATAAACGGGTATTTATTTTATATTACATCATTATAATAATGACTATTCGATTTGGTATACATTTGGTATTGTTTACATAGTACGTTTTGTAGCCGTATATTATAAACAAATCACGAACGAGTTTAACAACAATAAGTACCTATCAACAGTGATTACTTACAATGTAACTTTTACTTTTTAAAAAAATGTATAATTTTACAATAGGAATACGTATATAATAAGAATTATTAACAAAATAAATATATATATATATATATATATATATGTGATTATTGTACCCATATTCCATCATTGTCAAACGGTATCTAAATGTCTGATGCGTTCTTCTATGACGGCGTCGTTGCGTTCGTCTTTATTTGTTTGTATTTTTTCGTTATTGTTATTGTTAGTTTTTAACATGTTATTTTTGTCAGCTTTATATGTTAACCTGCAAAAACAAAATAGCATTACACATCGTATACAGCTATATTGGGTTTTGATGGTGGTTTTCAATCAAATCGAACAGGTATATAACATAGTTAATATATGGTTGAAATGATGTCTAAAACAGAGACATATTATAAAATAAAATAGTTCAATAATATTGTATCTACAATATTGTCGATATATTACTGTTGCCGCGTATAGTACCATCATTTACGACAGTTTATGAATTTTTTTTTTTTGGGCAGGGTGACAGCAGCAGGGTAACATAAATCTAAAGGAAAAGGTGGAACAGGCTCGGACTAAGCAGAATTGAGTAGATGTAAAACACGGCGAAAGAGATTATTAAACCCATGTGATGTTGAAGCAAGTGGAACAGGGAATGGGTCCTGGTGGAGTAGGAGGGGGTCCGAAAAGAGATGTTAAACTACAGATTTGTAGCGTCGATAACAACGTCAAAAAGGTAAGAGACGAAGGAGACATAAGTTTTAGCATAGCGAGATTTAATGGTTGGTGAATCAAGGGCAGAACGGATAATAGCATAGTCGTGCTAGGGATGATCTATTATTAGCCGGTAAGCAGCAAATTTGAGAGAAACTTATTCTGTACGCGCTCAATGCGAAGCCGGTCGCGTATGGAGTGGGAATGCCAAACTACCAAACCGTATTAGGCCGAATGAAGGATGAGCATAGGAAAGAAACGGAATGAGATACCCACCCTGTGGGACACAAGAAGAAATGTAAGACAGTTCAGATAAAATACCATTAACGGAGACAAATTGTCTTCTAGTGGTAAGATAGGATGAAATCCAAGAAAGAAAAAATATTGTTTATGCCGAGATTGTCAAGGGTTATAATAAGTAGCGCATAGTCAATGGAGTCGAAAACTTTCGCAAAGTCAGTAAAGAAGTCTTTATTATATAGACACACATAGAAGTGGGCCTGGAAGCTTGACCCCTAGAATTGATATATCCCCCAAAACTAATGATTTCATTTCTTATGACGTAAAAGTATCATACGAGTATTCAGTATACACCTGAGCTTCAGCTTCCCTTCCGCCCCAAATTTCAACCACTATTTACGCCACTGAAGTCAATCGACAGTATCGGCTTGAAACTCGAATTCAAGACTATTCAAAATATGGGTGAAGAAAACCACGTCGCTAGTTGTGGTAGACTTGCCGGGTGAAAGCCATGCTGATTCTCGATAACTGTGGAATAAAGAATTGTTTGAATGGTTGGCTTGTTGTTGGAGACATCTGAAGAGTCACCAGATTTTAGAATAGGAGTTATAAAACAAGTCTTCCAGATGCCGGGGAAAATTCCTTTTGAAAGGGAGCGCCTAAATGAAAGGATGATAGGGTAACCTAGGGAGTTACGACAGTTGAAGAGGAAGCGATCAGAATTACATCCATTATATTTTAATGGCCAACTGTTCGTTCATATAATATTATATTGTGTCCGTACCCATAGTACCTTATAACTCAGTGCTTAGTATGTATTACTCGTATAGTAAAATTACTTAAACGTTATGTATGTTAAATTTAACAAATTACGTTTTGTCCTGTTCCCCTACCTGTATACTAATATAATTATATCATATATTTTATCTAATAATTTGAAATCTATTCATACTCGAGTGATATTGACCAATATTTGACTGAATATACTTTTACTTTCAGTTTCATACCTACCTACCTTACTGTAGTTACTATATATTGTCCATACAAATTTAAAACAAATTTAGTTTATTCTTTCCGTTTCCATATTCAGATGCACTGTTACTACAAACGAATATTTCGAACGCTACTCGTGTATTTAGAATCTTGAAATTCGCCAAAGATCAGTAACAGTGCCACTGTGCATGTATACACACTAGGTATTTCGTATTCGTTTGAGTTTGTTCCTTTGATTGGACCGCCACGAGCGTTTTCGAGGGCGTCCTAGTTTGAAGGCAAACGATTGTTGGTTCGGTTTGCGTTCGATAGGTTGTTTTTGTACTTATTCTCTGTGAACTATACAGGTAGGTAGGAACTTTTGTTTAATACTCATTCTCGCCTTCAGCTTCCTTTGGTAGTAAATGGATTATTTACAATAAAGGTTGAATCCATCACTTGCAGATAAATACAATCATATTTTATGAAGCTTTGTTCTGTAATTATTACAAATAAAATAGTCGCTGTGGCTGACTTTGCAACGCATGAACGCATTCGAAATATGTATGCATACAAACGAATTGAAACCGAATAATCTGTTGTAGAATACTACTTTACTAATCTTCTGTATTAAAATAATTAATGCGCATATTGGACTTAAAGACTAATTTTATAACAGTCTAACCCAGGGGTGAAGGGACCGATCTGGAAATGGGAATTTTTCAGATGACCTGACTATTTTATAAATAGGTAACATAATTCTTACTAGTATTAATTCAAAATATAGTAGGCATTTTTTTCTATTAAGTATATCAGTAGACTTTTCAATTATTGTACTATTATCAACGTACCTATCATTTTGAATACAATGCACGAGCAAGCATTGGATATAAAATAACAAAATATTAATATAAACATTAAATATAAATTATTATTATAAAATATGCTGATGTTCTTTTTTCGATTTTCTTCCATTATCAAGAAAAGTGTCTACAGTGTAAATATAAAAATTACCTTCCTTTTGCACTTACTAACAAAATTTCCTACTTGAAACCACTTTTGAAGTTAATGCAAAGCGAAAATTTTTACAGAAATGTATGACATAGGTATCATAAAAATAACTCACATCGATCAGTACTTAAAATTCATTAGATAAAACCATTTACTGTATATATTACGTTGATTTTATTCTTAAGGTGCATTATTGCAATCAAATTTAAACTAACTAGTTCAAAAAATAGTGCTTGAAACTATTTTTAAATATGTACTATACGCTAAATGTAATAATACAATTATGTAATTAAACTTTTTTTTTTATACACATAATACATCATTATTGAAAATTGAGTATTGTGGTTCAAGTATTGGGTTCAAGTTAAAATGCTGAAATCGAGCCTAATGAGTAAAATTTGATTGGTACGTATTTTATTGAGTGACCTGGATACATTTCAATTTTCCGGCCTAAATTTTGTACCCGCTCCGCCCCTGATCAGTGGTCTAACCTAAACTTACTAGTATTTCATTTGTTGTATAGATTCTTAATAATAAATGTGATTTAAATTTAAATTTAATTAAAAATAGTTATACATAATTTCATTTGGAATTTATTTATTATTGTTTTTATTTCATGGATATTAAATATAGGTAATATTATGAATGTAATATATATGACGCAAGTAATATCTAATTTTGAAGTGACATTATGTTAATTTTATTAAGATTTAACTCGTAAACTGTAGTGCATATGATCTAAATTGTTTTGAAGCACCTACCTATACGATGTAAATCAATTTTAAACATTTACCTATTACGTCTTAAAATATTAAAATTACTTTGATTTTCAAAAACTTTAAGGTAGGACAAAATTTGTAAAAAACTTTGTAAATTGAACTAAGTTTTTTATCGAATGAAAATTGTGTATTCTTTTATAATATATGAACAAAACAAGTAATATTGTTTACGTTGCTGCACATATTTAATATTGAACAAATAGTTTATTAGTTATTGTTATTTGACATTCCAATGATAGATATAATGATAGACTTATCTAAAGAACTTTTGATAATAAAATAAATTTTCATTATTATATTTCGTTTATCTAGACTATATAAATGATTAAACCAATAAACTATGTTTCTTCATTAATTTGTTTCAATTTGTTGTAATTTTCAAAGAA